ATCATTTTCAGTGCAGGTGTTTCCCAACATCCAGCTTTTTTCCTCTTTTCTCAAGCCTTTCCTAATAGGAAGTATGTACTGATTTTGTACTTGGGTATGTTATGTCCTTCAGTAGCCTGTGTGCTTCTTATAAAGATTTGATTTTTGTAATTGTTCCTTTTTAGTTTCTTTTGAACAAGCTTCCTCATTTTTCTCTTTTTGAAGTTTAGCACAGCTGTGGGGGATTTGCTTTTGTTGTTCCTGTGGGAGTGTTGACTCTCAGTATATTATGGACACTGTTACATAGTGTTTCCATTATGAAATTTTGAATCTGATCCTGCTCATCACTCAGTACCAAATCAAGGGTTGCGTTTCTTCCTGCTGAGCAATTGGTTAGCAGGCTCATGAAGTGGCCAGTGATAGCATCTAAAAATGTCCCCCTGCTTCGTGTCCTCATGTGACCCTTGCCTGGTCCCAGCAGGCAACTGAAGACACCACTAAAATCATATTTCCTGCTCTTGTAACCTGTTAGATCCCTTAGCATGTTGTGGTCAGGAATGTCTTCTAGTAGTATTGATCCAGCACTATTTTTTTTTCCTTTTTGAGTGCAGAATTTCAGTCTATTTGAATTATTTTTCTTGCAGAGATTAGTTTTGTTTAGATTCTAAGCTTTTTAACAAGATATTAGGACTCCATGACTGGCACAGTTTTATCCTGTGCTGTGTGTTTCCTAACTTGGTACTATCATGTCACATTGATTTATTAGGTGCATGAGAAATTTTGTGAAATAAATAGTCTGTGACTTCATGTAGGGGCAGAAATTCTATTGTCCATATCTTTCTAGACTTCCAGCATGTGCTGGAATTTCAGTTCATTAATGGACATTCTGTTTAAATGAAAAATTGTCTTCTGCTTCCTATTTGATGATGATTATTATCTGACTACTCTGTACTTAAGGATAGGGATTTGTGTCTTTCTCCAAATGAAAAAATGTTTTGCCTTTCCTTTTAATGATGTTTCAAACAGAATGTATCTGAAATGACATTTTGAAGGAATTTGGCTTCTCTACATTCCTCACTTGAAAAGCTCAAATTCCTCTATTTGAAGTATCTTCAGTTTGGTTTTGTCAAACTATACATCCATGTAAATGAGTAGCATAGTGCACTAGACAGGATCTATAGAACAAAAGAGTTGATCTCGGGAACCTGGCAGCTATACTAAACATACCTGGGGATTTTTACTTCACATAAACCCTTTTTTGAACCTCTCAGCTGAATTCTTGTTAGCAGATGAAAGCATTCAGTGTGTTCCCTCAGGATGTTTGCTTGAATTATTTAATCTGAAAAGAATTCTGATTTTTTCAATGTAAACCAATGCATATTAAGTGGGAATGATTGGAAGATTCACTTGAAAAAGATCCTCCCAATTCAAACTGAAAGGCTAAATAAACCTTAATATTAAGGCCATCCATCTTATTTAGGTTCTCTTTACCCTGGAAGTACCCCTAATAACAGATGAACCTGGAACTTTCTTGTCACAGTCTTTTCAGACAGTTATTTAAGTCTTGTGCCTCTAGCTTTCTTCTTGGCTCTACACCAGTACGAGCAGAGCTTCAGAGAGTTAAACATTTAAAACTTGCCATAAAATAGTAATAAATGTATACTGCAAATACATCTGTTATGTGAAAAGGGCTTATAATTGTTCATATTTCTGTTGATTGTGGCTGGGGAAAAAAACAGAGTACACCTTGCCTAAAATAAAGCTTCATCTCATGGATGGGTAATACTAGAAGATATATGGAAGGTTAATAAGAAACTGTTAAAACTGACAGGATTCTTCATAGTGCAGTAATCACAAGAAGTACTCTGCTCTAAAGCTCTGATATCCAGCTTCTGCAAGAGGTGTTGGGCAGCATGGATCAGGATTGCAGTCCAAAATGGGAAGGAATCTGCTATTAACTACACTGGAACTAGTGATTCTTACTCGCCACTGAAATTGAAGGCAAAATAAATATTGTGTGATCTCAGTAGAATTTTTATACTGAATCAAGATTAGAAATAAATTGTATAAAACATAGCACAGGTTTCTGTTTTCTTTTACAAAGGTGTCATTGACTGCCTACATTATCTGTAAAAACTTGTTTTCTAAACTAGCCACAGGCAGCAAATGAGATTCCCTCATGTGGGCTGTGAAGGTGTACAGAGATCAGCAAACCCAAGCACAGGATTAGATGTTGTTTATGAAGGTCAGAAGCTGAAGGTGTGAGAGCTGTTCTCCATCTCCCAAGCACAGACTTTAGCCTGGCTGGAACAGTGCCCACAGCCCGTGTGAAACTCGCGAGCCATCGTTCCGAGCTGCTGCGTCAGCTCCAGCGGTATCAGGAAATCACAGCTCCTTTCCAGCTGAGATTGCGCTGTCCTTGCAGCAAGGCTGGGTGGGGTAGGCAAGTGTTTGCTTGTAGCCTTCTCATGTGCATACAATCAGAACCTTTCTCATGCCATAAATACATAAAGCTACAATGTTCGTGCTTTTGCCCAGATCATTGATTATGAGAAGAATCAGACGTTGGGACAGAACGACACCGGATTTAGCTGTGATGGAACAGCCAGTACCTTCAGAGTTATGTTCAAGGAGCCCATAGAGATCCTGCCCACGGTTTGCTACACAGCTTGTGCAACCCTGAAAGTAAGAATGCCTGACAGGACAGCAGAAAGTGTTACTTTGATGCAAGAGTTACTCTTTTATCAGTCTTCGGATGGGAAAGTGTCTTCTAGATCTTGAATTTATTTTAATTTTAGGGCTAAAGAAGGACGTAGTTCGAACTCCACTGTAATTTTTAAGACTGTTACACCTCTTCTGGGACTCAGCATGGAATTCATAACTGGATCCTTTGTGCCTTCCCACTTTTTTGCTTGATGTAGGAGTTAGAATAGTTCAAATGGAAGTCACTGGTTCTGTGTGGGAAAAAAAAGCACTATCTAGAAAACATAATCTGGCAGCTCTCTATCAAAATTTGATTTCTTTTATCAAGGATATTCTAACCACTAGCTAAATTCAAGAAAGCAGCTTTTTAAAAATCTATTTTTATATACTGGTGCTGAAATAATAGGCAAGAATTACTAGTTCTCAGAAAGTCTCCTCTTAGTGTTGTGGACCAATTTATTTCTCAAAAATATTTAATGTTCTTCTAAATATAATTCCCTTTACAGAAATCGGAGTTCATTGGGTTGGAAAAATACTGCACATAAAAAGCAGCTGAGTCAGGAAACTAAGTAAGAATACAGACAAGCTGTGTGATAAGGAGAAATACTAGAAAGTATTCATTACTAGTTGGATAAAATCAACTGGTTTAAGTCTGCTGTCAGAGAAATATGTTTCTGTTATACTAAAATAGCCCAAGTCAGTTGTGTTTGACCATCAGCAGGTTTTGGATCTTGCCCACTTCCATTCTGTTGCTAATCTCTTGTGATGCTTTTCAGGGTCCTGATTCCCACTATGGAACAAAAGGTTTGAAGAAAGTGATCCACGAATCTCCTACTGCTAGCAAAACATGCTTTGTCTTTTATAGTTCACCAGGTAACAACAATGGTACTTCAATAGAAGATGGACAGATACCAGAAATAATATTTTATACTTAGTTTCACATGATGATCTGGAATATGTTGGTGTCTCAGTGGACTTCAGCTCACTATTGGCAGCAGTTAAAAAATTCTGATCAATTACTTTAATGTGTAAAAAAAAAACCCCTAATTTGTTTGAGGGGTACCAGAAAAGCTTTTTTTCCTGCATCATTATTGGTAAATTGTAATTTAGCTTTTCCTCTAAATGAGATGTTAGTGGAATAAGTACTCTGTATATTGAAAAGTTTGTTTTAAGTAGTACCTTGTGGTAAATTACTTTGTGTTTTCACCCCTTTGTTTCTTATGTAGTAAAATTCATTTTTTGAACTGGAAAATCCTTACTTGTTATGAACAACTTGTATATGTTTTCTCCAATCTGTCCTTAAAAGACAGTAAAGCTGCTGCTGTAGTCCCAGTCCCATCTTGCACTTCTTTACAAAATGACCTTGGATTGACCCTATGGACATGGATTGCTACTGTATTTTTTGGAAGTACGTCAGCAAAGCTGCATTTATATTGCCATCATCTTGACTTTTTCCAAGAGCCGTGGAGAATTAATGGACTTTGCACTGCAGAGAACATCTGCAGCAGCACTGAAGAAATAAATATTCAGTCAAATTCAGCAAGAAACAGATCTTTCCCAAATCTCTCTTAATTCAGAAGGGCTGCTTTGGAATATAGAACTGGTTATGCAAATAGCCACTGTATATATACATATGTGCCTATAAAAGATGTATAATGTGAAAATGAGAATACGAGACTTGTAATGATGTTATTTTATCATTGGATATTTTAGTACTAAAAAAATGAGCATAAACCTAAGGATTATTGGTGTGCAAGGGGTTTTACAGATTGCATACAATAATATGATGCAATTGTTGTATGTATATAGTATTCATTGCTTTGCAGTAGTACCATGTAGTAACAGAATGGCTTGGTGTACAAAGACCTGTACCCTCTCCAACGTTATACTAAAATTTGAGAATGCAGGACAAAAAATAAGAAAATTTCCTTTCTTAATGGGAGGTCGCGCAGGTTTGGGGCGTCCAAAGGCAGTGTGTAGAACAAGTGTCTGTCAAACGTTCAGCTCTGTGCACACTCCGCCAGCGCTCTCCTGTCCCAGGGCGCTGTTCCGAGACAGGGATGGGGCTCGGCCGGGCCGTGAGGGAGCAGCCGCTGCGGGCACAGGGCCGGGCCGTGAGGGAGCAGCCGCTGCGGGCACAGGGCCGGGCTGTGCCAGAGGAGCCGCTGCGGGCACAGGGCCGGGCCGGGCCGTGCCGGAGGAGCCTCTGCAGGCACAAAGCCGGGCCGTGCTGAAGCCGCCGCTGTGGACACAAGGCCGGCCCGGCCGGGCCGTGTAAAGCGCGCAGGCGTCCCGGGGCGGGGCGGGCCCGGCGCGGTTGCCGGAAGGGCCGCCCCGGTCATGCCGAGCCTCGCTGGGTTCCTGTGGGTGCGGGCGGCGCCGGTGCGGATCGGCGGGGCCATGCCCGGGAAGGTGCGGGCAGGGCCAGGAGAGGGAAGGGGGTTAGGGGCGGGTGGTGCCCGCGGTGACCGCGCCTGTTGCTCTGTTTCAGGGAAAAGCAGCCGCCAAGGGCCCCGCGGAGCCGGGCGCCGCCGCGGGACCGGTGGCGGCGGCGGGCGGCGGCTCCGTGAGGGTGGCGGTGCGCGCCAAGCCCGGCGCCCGCTGCAGCGCCGTCACAGGTGGGTCTGTGGGACGGGGCACCGGGCGCTGCATCGCTGCACCCTGAGGAACAGGGGCGGAGGGAGGGAACGCGCAAAATCCCAGCAGGAAACTGAAGCGAGGAGTTCGGCTCTGCGGGAGTAGCTCGTTCACGTCCCCCCTGTGTAGCGCTGGGTGGCGCGGTGAGCACGGGGTGAATCCTCATCCTAAATCCTTCCGTTTGGCATCGGTGGTTTCGTGCAGGCTGTTTGTGTCTCAAGGGTCTGTGCGGTTTTATTAGAGCCATAAAAGCTGGATCTGATAAAACGTGTTCTCCCTCTACAGCCCTGGCCTTGCTCCTGCACGCATTGGGGCTGCTTTCACATCCCGCGTGTGTGCGACACCCACGGGCTGTGGCAGTGTCCAGGCCCCGCTGGAATTTACTGGGGATTTCCTGACAGCGTAACTCTCTGAGCAGACTGATTCAACAAGCGGCTTTTGGGGTGGAGGTGTGGGGGGTAACCCGATTTGTGTTACGTGGTGCCAAGCAGGACAACACCTGCACAAGAACGGGCCGTTGAGGGGGCTCAGAGCGGTGCCCCCATTGTGAGAAGGCTGGTAACTCACGGCTGCACCCTGCTACAGCATGAAGGCTTCACTGCTTGTATTGTCAGGAGTTTATATTTGATTGTACTGGCCGATAGTCAAGGGAACTCATGAAATGTGAAAATGCCATCACCTGCTAATCTATACATTTACTCGGTTTTAAATTGAAATGCTTTTGGAAGCATAAACATTCATTTTTAGGAAATTATGTTTTGAATATTTTGAGCATAAAATCCTCCCACTATTTGCTATAGATGTGACGGCTGAGGCAGTAGGTGTAGCTATTGCTGCACCTCCATCGGAAGGGGAGGCAAATGCAGAGCTGTGTCGCTACCTCGCTAAGGTGCTTGAAGTGAAGAAGAGTGATGTTATTTTAGAGAAGGTACTTCCTTTTTTTCCTTTCAGTTTTGCCCTACTGCAGTTGAAATTCAAGATTTTGAAACTTACACATTGAGTACAGGGAGCTACTCCAAGTTCAGTCTGAAAAACACTTTATAAAAAGTTTAGTTGAGTTATTGCAATGATTCTTTGAGAACAAACTTAGTGTAGGAAGAACTATGGCTGATCTCGAGATCTTTTAACCAGAAGAGTTATCATGATAATCTTTTGCAAATCTCTGTAATTCATATTTTCTGTGTTCTTCAAGATTCTCTTGTTTTCATGTCAAATGAGTTCCCAGAATTTGTGTTCTGCAGAGAATGTGCATTTTATTGATAGTTTTTCACTTTTTTTTTTTGATAACTTCTGTATTTGATTCTGACATTTAACTGTCACACATAACCAAGAGTGTATGTAAGCACTTGGGTTGTAGCTGGGCCTCAGGAGTTTCTCTGTATTAGACTTTACATGTCTTGACTTTGGTGAGTGGAAACTCTTGTTTTATTCATTGCACTGAATAAATAATTTGTTTTATTAATTCATTGTACTTGAAGTCAGTCTATCCAGCCATTTTCATTTATAGTTTATAAACACAAGAGCATGATGAAAAATTATGCTTTTTATTTTTACCTGTTGGTTTTACTCTGTTGGAGTAGTTATAGAAATCTTTTAAAGACTAATAGTAAAGGATAAGATGACCAAGGAAATGTTGTGATAAAGACTAATAGTAAAGGATAAGATGACCAAGGAAATGTCTCTACCAAGGGTAGAGACAAAAAGATGTGAGTCTTGTTTTTCCTGAATCATGGGCAAACTGCTTCATTTGTTTATCAGCATTTTATAAATTGCACTGTTTTCTTACCATAAAGGGTGATTCTCTGAAAGATAGGTTTTTTCTGTGTTTGTCTAAACCAGGGGGGTAAATCACGGGACAAAGTGGTGAAGATTTCGGTATCAGCGACACCAGATGAGGTTTTAGAAAAACTGAAAAAAGAAGCTTCCAGTTGACCTAAAACAAGAGCAGGAAACAGGAAAAAGCATCTTGGTACATGGACTGATATTCTTTCTTACTTAATGCAATGCTGTTGAGAGTGTGGGTAATGACTACAGGAAGATACTTCTTTCCCCTCCCCTTGTTAATATGGGTGCTGTACAGCTGAAGTTTTTCTATAGGCTTGGTTAGAAGGCTGAGACTGTGTCTGCTTCTGTCACTACAGACTTCCTTCTGCTCTGGATGGTTTCATGTGGGTAAGATTTATCCTCTTTCCTGGCCCCTAAACAAATGGTTCAGGAAATGTTTTTTGTAGTGGAGCAAATGTTGGTTATCAAAGTGAGGGGCTTGGAGTGACAGCCTTCCATGTGGGAAGTGGTACAAAAGGACAAACCTGGATGGCCGAGACAGAAAAGAGACTGTTCTGTCTGATATCTCACAGCAGGCACTGTGTGCAGCTTTTCACTGTGGGCACTTACAGATATCTAAAATAAATGTCTTTTGAAGCCAGTGTGCTGTTGTTGATCACACAGACAAACTGCAAGTAGAATCACCTGAGCAACTGAAAGAAAACCAGAAGTTTTCAGTATGAAAAACCAGCGCAGGACCTGATCATGGCACACGTGGGGTCACTTTGTAATGGTCTGTAAATAGTTTTCTTAAAAGTAGAAATTCGGTCATATATATATCTTTGCCAGTTGTATGTCACCTGTAATGACTGTTTTTAATAAAAGGGACAAAAAGTATTATCAAGCTTTGGTTTGTGTTTATATTTTTAACAAAGAAAAGGGTTGTTTCCTAGAAACATCTTCGTAGAATGCTACTTTGAAACAGCCTTTTTTTACAATCTTTCCTTGGTCTAAAAATGAGTAGTAATGCAACCCCTAGAGAACAGAGCTGAGTCATTTGTAGAACAGAACAAAACAAGAAATTTGAAATGAAATGGGCAAATATACTCCAGCCCAGTTTCAGGGCTGATGAGAAAAAGGCTGAACTTCTCTATCTATCATGCTTCACAGGTCAGAGGAGGATTTAACTTGCATTTCCCAAAGATGTGTGTGATACCATACATGGTTCTGGTAGGACTTTGTTTTCAACTCTGCATCACTGCTAATGTCTGAAATTGTCCTGTATTTGTCCTATGGTTGTCATGTTGAAAAGAAAGTAATGGCTAAAGGAAAAAAAGATAAACTATCCTGAAGGTTTGCTTAAGATTTGTCTTACATTCTCCTGGAAAACAATGTTATGAATGCATAAGCATTTATGCTGATGCATTGCCAGAATGATGCAGTACTGGTTTCATAGATCATAATTCAGCTTTTTCATGGGCAAAAGTCTTTCACTTTAGGGAACTCTTTCAGTTCCTGTTACCCTAATATTGCAACAGTTGCTTTTGTAGTTAGAGAACTGGTGTTTGTCAAGATGGCAGTTCCTTCAAGGTGACTAATTTCAAAGATGTTATGAAGAATCTTAGTTTCTGGAGATATAAATTCTAAATTCTGAATTCTGTTTGTTTAATGGTTTGGACCTGAGCCCTTATTTTCTCAGGCATGTGGGCAGCCATACATTGTCTCAGTCCTCTTTCCTTACTTGTCTTTTCAGTCTGCGCAGGCTGATTTTATTTTACTGTTCCATCAGTTTAGGTTCACCCCTCCCTGATGCTAGATCTGCTCTTGCCCAGCAGAGGGGTGCCGTGTCTTGCAGAAAGATTAAGGCCCAGCAAACCAAGATTAAGTGTTAGTGGTTTGTTGTTGGGGGTTTTTCCTTTTATTTCCTAATGATAAGTAGAAAACTGCATTAAAAAGACTGAGGAATTCTGTATTTATAAACTACATTTGGAATTGGATACTGCAACAGCCATTATAAAAAGTTTTTTTAAAGCTTATATACTCTGTTGAAATAATGTATTTCATTACACTTCAGACACAGACTGAGGGAGGAGCTGTGTGGACAGATACAGTCTCTGCAGTCCATTGATCTTCAGTGATGATTACCTGAAATAGCCAATTTAGTTTTTCAGTGCCCTCTCTGTCTTGTCAGCATGTTCTGCCTAGGTTTTGCTGGCTTCTGCTTGGCTTCTTCACCTTTCATAAACACCTTCAGCTGCCATTCTGCATCTGTTCTTCCTGATCAATGAAAGTAACTTGAATTTCTGATAGTGTGGCAAATAAAGCCTTTACATGCTGGGAATGTGCAATTTATGTAATATGAGTAACCAAAATTATTTTGGAATGGTTGTATAAGTAACACCGGAATGTTGCCATATGGAATAATAAAATCATACTTGATAGCCTCTTATGTCAATGTTTTTTGTGCTGTATATCCCTGTATCAATCATATCCGTAATACCTTGGTTGTGGATTTAGATAAGCTGGTAAAATGCCTGGGAGGGTGGAACTGCTGGTCCATTGCAGTTTGCCATGGAGTGCCCAGGGGCACTGACCAACCACAAAGGGAGCAGAGGGCACACAGGGGCAGTGCATCAACGTGAGGGGGTAAAAGGCTGGGCTAAAGAACAGGAAGGGCTGACATGTGAAACCTTCTGAAGTGGAATGATGTTACTCTGCATGGGCAGATGCTTGAAGCCTTCTGAGGTGTTTGTATGGGTTGTAGCCTTCTGAAATTGTACGATGATGCTCTGTGTATCATGGCCATCTCAACTGTGACACATCATATATGCAGAGAGGTAGAGAAGAGCTAAATAACATGGGTGACTAAACAATGCCAAAACTGTGATTTAGGCCTAGCTCCTGCAAGCCTTGCATTGAAATCCTAACCTGTCAACTGTCTCTTCATGAACAGGGTAAAATATCTTTCATACTATTGAAAAAATTGTGGCAGCAAGTATCCCTTACTCCAGCAGAGTATGTTTTCATAGAGAAGAGCTTTGTGATACTGTAAGAAGCTGCGTCCCAGAATTTCAAGACACTTTACAAATCCCTGCTCAAAATAAATTCTTATTCCTGGACCAATTTAAAAACATTTTGCCAGTTGCTATATGACTTTTAGCTGTTGCTACCTGCTTTATCCATGTGCATGAAGCTACATGATTACTCAACTGTTGAAATGAAGCACTGTCCTCTTTCCCTAATGCATGGTCTGACCAATTTCAGTAAAAATCCATCTAATGGTGATTTAATATCTGACTGCTTGCAGACCTGCACAGTCAGTGCAATTTTAAAGTATAATTATGTTATTTAAACATTAGCAAAATAGAAGTTATCTGAATAAATTCTGTGCCAGTCTTATGGCATAGAAGAGTCTTAGTCTTTCATCCACTCAGTTATATTTATTTTCTAAAATCCAGCTTTGAAAGTTGGTTTCATTGTAGTAATGTAATATGCTAATTAAGGGTATTTAATTATACCTTCTGAAACTGTCTCTTTGCTCTTTTTCTTTCAATCCACTTCATTTATCATCTGCAGTGCATTCCTGTCTCCCCTTTTAGTCCTAAGTATTTCTAAATCCTCATTTCTTCAGGTATCATCAGTCTAAATAATCCTGGATAATTGACAACTTTGTCAATAACTGGCAGCAGCAATTTAGCAGAAAGCACAGTTTAATATCTTCCAGCTTCCAGGAAGATAAATACACCTGATCTTCCTGCTCAGTACTTCACTTGTTTCCCCTCTCATAATGTTTATTTGCATGTGTAAAACTTGAACCAGCTGAGTTTTTGAAATTGTTTCTGTATTACTTCTACCTACTGTTTTCCATTCGTGATGTTTTAGTCTTTGTCTTGGGAGGATGATTCATTGCCATCTCGATGGGTTTAAAAATGGGCTCCCCTGTCTCCTTTGGGGAGCACAATGCTTTATCCTCCTGTAAAAGCTGTCCTGGTTGTTACTCTCTAGGAAGGGGCTGCACTTGAGGCAAAGTGCTCTTAATACAACTGAGGCACAATAAAAAACCTTCTGAAGAAATGAAATGCTTGCCTGAAAGGAGGAGTCTGGTACTTCTCTGAGATATTGGGAATTTGTTTCTTCCTGATCCTTTATATATTGGGTTCTCAAGTAATTGTTACTGAGCTGTGATAAATTTTCGTTCATCTGTAAATGGTGCATTTATTTGTTCTTTCAAGAGCTGGGGAAGTTAGAGTGATGAAGTGTCCACTGTGCCATCTCTTACTACAGCCTCAGGGTACGTTTTTGGAATATTGTTTAAATAACATTCTGAGTTTCCAAATCTGAAGTATGGCAGGTGAAAAGTGAAATATATTGAGTATCAGTTCAGCAGCTGGTCACTATAGAAACGTGCTGTAAAGAGAGCAGTTAGCCACAGACCCAAGGAAAGAGGAACAAACAACAGAGGTCAAAGCCTCATTTCATGCTGCTCAGATAAAGCAGTTGTCTTCCTTAAGAGAATAACCAGAGTTACAAACTGTAATTCCAGGGTGATTGTCATTAAGTTGTTTTTTTCCTAATACCTTGTAGGTGTGCAGTGCATGTGGGAAGGGCTGCAGCAATGCTGTTCCTTTGGTCAGCTTTTGTTGCTGTAATGCTTTGCAAACCAGGATGCACTAAGGCATAATTTATAACAAATTTCAAAGCTCTCAACACGTGTTAGGACATACTTTGTGCCCAGCTGTCTGACAGGGGCAGTACTAAATTGAATTTTATAAAACAAGCTATTTGTGTGGAACCTTTTTATTTCACCAGTGCTACTTTCCATGGCATGTCTTAAAGTCTAAGTTTTTTGCTTCCCTTCTGATGTGCAGAAGGGGTGTGGGGTTACCTTTGATGGAGGTATAAGCACACAGCATCAGCCCCAGCAGCCACCTTCCTGCAATCTCTGGGTGCTGTTGCAGCCTCTCGCCTTCAGTTCTGCTGCTGCTGTTGCAGGTAAGTGTCCTCCAGCAGGACCAGGCTCTCAGGGGTTGTTTCTGCTCTCTCTTTGTCACATCAGCATTGTTGCTGATGCTTATCTCCTTAGATGCCACCACGTTTCTTTTTCTGTTTTTTGGGCCTGACAGGCCTTAGAGGTGCATTCATTGGGGAAGGAGGGAAAAGACCTTGTGATACAATCTTTGCAATCTGAGGGCAGACCTGTCCCTTCCAGTGAGGCCCTGTGCAGCTCTTTGTAGCCTCCTGGCATTTACCCTTTAGTGAAATGTCTCCTTTTGTCTCCAGTAAATCTGACAGCAATCAGCCAGCATGTATATGAGGTCATGTTCCTGCTATGAGGAAAGATTTCTGGTAGCTACTCAGATGCACTTCTGAACAGGCAATTTTCTTCAGTTTCTTAACTGCCTTTTTACAATGGAAGTGCAAACTGTTACTAATAAACCTGATGGGTTTATGGGTTTTGAGGAGATTTTTCCTTTTTGTTCAGAAAAACTTGATTATGCTCATCACTGACTGAATACAAATGCTAATACATAGAGGGAACCAGCCAGGCAAATTGCACTTGGCTAATTTTACTTAATGAGAACGTCTGATTCTGTTCAGTCACTTCCTCACTGAGTTCAGGTTCAGCTGCTAAAGCAGACCCAGGAGCTTTTTGTTAAATATTTTTAAAGGATGAGCAGCTTATAATGATGTTCTCAAAGTCTTTTACTTCTATTTGCTGTGATTGCTGTGACATATCATCTGGAATACATTTTTTCCCTTTATTTAATACCATTCCAGACAATATTTCTGGCAGAAGATAAATGTGAATATAGAGCATCTGAAAACATTAATTTGACAATAGCTGTGGTTAAATTGTAGGATGTGAGGCAAGGCCTATCTTTCAGTTGTCAAGTA